TTAAATTATATGCAGGACCCCAGTGAGCTCCAGACTATGTGCATTGTGTTGGGGAACCATATAAATGATAGAATAAATGCATTTAAATGCAAAAATAATGATTTTAAATCATTTTAGGGGGACAATTGTGGAGAGGAGCCTGAAAATGACTCTGCAGCAGGCTGCCTATGAGCACCCAAATTTCGGGCCTTCTTCACGGAACCACGACCCCTTCTGTGGAGGGTATTCTCGTGCCCCTGGTGAGCACACAATGACCCAGGAAAGAGTCTTCAAAACACAGGTAAAACTGTGTTAAACAGTGGGGTAACATGTTTGAAATGACAGCACACTGCTGCTTGTTGGCAGCCTGACTCACTTGACTTGTCTCACACACACCCAGGGGGGGAGAAAGAGGACACATTGACCCAGGAAAGAGTCTTCAAAACACAGGTAAAACTGTGTTAAACAGTGGGGTAACATGTTTGAAATGACAGCACACTGCTGCTTGTTGGCAGCCTGACTCACTTGACTTGTCTCACACACACCCAGGGGGGGAGAAAGAGGACACATTGGAGCACAGAATGACCCAGGAAAGAGTCTTCAAAACACAGGTAAAACTGTGTTAAACAGTGGGGTAACATGTTTGAAATGACAGCACACTGCTGCTTGTTGGCAGCCTGACTCACTTGACTTGTCTCACACACACCCAGGGGGGGAGAAAGAGGACACATTGACCCAGGAAAGAGTCTTCAAAACACAGGTAAAACTGTGTTAAACAGTGGGGTAACATGTTTGAAATGACAGCACACTGCTGCTTGTTGGCAGCCTGACTCACTTGACTTGTCTCACACACACCCAGGGGGGGAGAAAGAGGACACATTGACCCAGGAAAGAGTCTTCAAAACACAGGTAAAACTGTGTTAAAACAGTGGGGTAACATGTTTGAAATGACAGCACACTGCTGCTTGTTGGCAGGCTGACTCACTTGACTTGTCTCACACACACCCAGGGGGGGGAGAAAGAGGACACATTGACCCAGGAAAGAGTCTTCAAAACACAGGTAAAAACTGTGTTAAACAGTGGGGTAACATGTTTGAAATGACAGCACACTGCTGCTTGTTGGCAGGTAAACATTGTTTAATTGTTTAAGTGTTTTTAAATGTATGGAACAGTGTTTTGTCTCTTTCAAAACTCTCCCGTCATTGGCCGGATACATGGGGACGATTTTATATTCACTATGACCGTTACTATTCCAGTGAGACGAAGTACGTCCGGTGACGGGAGTGATCCCATGTTAATTTTGTCCAAAAACCAGAGCATTCCCTTATCCAGTTTACAAAACCAAAAAGAGACAAATGCTGAAGGTTCATTGTTTTGATTTGCATAACTGCCCAAAGTTGTAAATGCTCCATTTCAGAGTTGGTGTATGTAATGAGTGAAGCCAGCGTCCCTCACACAGCAGATGTTAATTATTTCAGGAAAAGACATGGAACTTTACCTTTGACTGAAATACATTTTCAAAGATACAACCCTTTTAAAGCTTGTTCACACAAGGAAAGCTAGTGTGAACACAAAAGGTTTCTATTCAAAACCTAATAAGAAATGGTGGAGCAATGATGCCACCATGTGGACACAAAGCCACACTATGACAACACTTCAAATGCCAAACATTAATTGAATTTATAAATGTAGGAATTTAAAGTGTGCACTTTAAGTTAATCATTCGTCAGCACAACTTTTCTGTTTAAATTAAATGTCATTTTCTCAATATGGACTATTCACTCATTCACAAACCAAATGTTACTTCTTGAAGAGCCTGGAATAAAGAGTCTCTTGGGTAGTTGAAGGTTAAAAAAAAAAAAAAAAAAAAAAAAAAAAGCACAAACTGGAAAGCGTCTCTGTTCAAAACTTTTATTAGAACGTTTTAAGTAAGGTAGCGTGGAGGAGGAAAAGGAGGCAGCAATGATATGGGCAAGTGAACATGGGGATGAAAAGGAGGATGGGGTGCCGGAGTGGGCGGGGGATCTGGTTTCACAGTGGTAGCTGGAGTGGTTGGATATTGGGGATGGGAGGGATCGTAGGGTAAAGATGATAGTAAGGCATAGATGGTGGAAGCTGCGATACGGGAGTTTTAGCCTTTAGTTGTAGTCGTTTTTGGCTTTGTAGCTGGATAAAGAGGATTAAAGGGAGGATACATCGGCATATATTGTGCAAACGGCATCTGAGCGTATTGAGGCATCTGAGGGTTTTGAGGCATCCGAGGGTATTGAGGCATCCAAGGGTATTGAGGCATCCGAGGGTATTGAGGCATCCGAGGGTATTGAGGCATCGGATGGTATTGAGGCATCTGAGGGTATTGAGGCAGAGGAATCTGAGGGTATTGAGGCAGAGGAATCTGAGGGTATTGAGGCATCCGAGGCATCGGAGGGTATTGAGGCATCTGAGTGTTTTGTGGCATCTGAGTGTTTTGTGGCATCTGAGACAGTGCAGGAATTTTAGGAATTGTAGTCGCCTTTGCAGTTGTAGTTTGAGTGGTCGTTGCTGTTGTTGTCTCCGGCATCTGAGAGTATTGAGGCATCCGAGGGTTTTGAGGCATCCGAGGGTATTGAGGCATCCGAGGGTTTTGAGGCATCCGAGGGTATTGAGGCATCCGAGGGTTTTGAGGCATCCGAGGGTTTTGTGACATCTTAGGGTTTTGTGACATCTGAGGCAGTGCAGGAATTTTAGGAATTTGAGTCGCCTTTGCAGTTGTAGTTTGTGAGGTCGTTGCTGTTGTCTCCGGCATCTGAGAGTATCGAGGCATCCGAGGGTATTGAGGCATCTGAGGGTTTTGAGGCATCTGAGGCATCTCAGGGTTTTGAGGCATCTGAGGCATCTCAGGGTTTTGAGGCATCTGAGGCATCTCAGGGAATTGAGGCATCTCAGGGAACTGAGGGCATTGAGGCGTCAGAGGCATCTGAGGGTATTGAGGTATCTGAGGGTATTGAGGTATCTGAGGGTTTTGAGGCATCTCAGGGTTTTGAGGCATCTGAGGGTATCGAGGCATCCGAGGCAGTGCTGGAATTTTGGGAATTTGAGTCGCCTTTGCAGTTATAGGCCGTGTGGTCGTTGTCTCCGGCATCTTAGGGTTTTGAGGCATCTGACGGTATTGAGGCATCCGAGGCATCCAAGTGTATTGAGGCATCGGAGGGTTTTGAGGCATCCGAGGCATCTGAGGTACAGGGGAATGGGGGGAAGTCGTTTTGTAAGCAGGAGGTGCGGCTGGAGGTGAGGCAGGAGGTGCGGCTGGAGGTGAGGCAGGAGGTGAAGCACGAGGTGCGGCAGGTTTGGAACACCAGAGAGAGACTGGAATTCCTTGCCAACGCATCGGGAGTACATAACTTCCACCCTTTGGGAGAAAAACATACAATTAGAAACAGCAAGGAATCACACAAACCTGTCAACAGAGTTGGGTGTAACGCGTTACTGTAATAATATTACTTTTGTCGGTAACGGAGTAGTGTAACGCGTTACTTTTATAATTCAGTAATCACACTACAGTTACTAACATTGCCCCGACACGCGTTACTTCGTTACTTTTATAAAATCAGTCATAATCACACTGACAGACAAGAGGGGTTTCCGCCGCAGGTTTATATGTACGTAATCTGCGCGACTTGCGCGTCCACATCTCTGCGTGCAGTGCTCCATAAACATGGCAGAGTCAGCGATAACTTCCGAGGGGTGGAGGTATGCTCATTATTTTGAGTTTGTCCGAAGAATAGACAGGAATGTGACGGTGAGGTGCAAACTGTGTCCAGGCCAGAAGCTGTTATCCACTGCTGCAAACACCACGTCAAACCTCAACAAACACCTGCAAAGAACACATGCTAAGGTGAAGCTAATAGCTAAGGACCCCCGAACCCAGAGTGAGGATGTTGTGAGTGCGCCGCCGCCGACCCCTGAAGCAGCACAAATTAGAATATGGAGGACCGGTAACCAAAGCAGAGATGGACAGGCTTGTAGCATCCTTCATAGTAGAGGTAATGTTGCCCATTTGCACAGTGGAATCACCATCGCATCGTTCAGAGATATACTGCGCAAAATACAGATAGCAGGAGACAGAGGACAGCCATAGTCAGAGCTATCTGGATCAGTCTTATGTGACAATGGAAACTGAACTAAAGAGAACATTTGAAACTTTAGCAGTCTGCGTGATCTGCATGTAGGGAGGGGCGGGCCGGCCCTGCGAGTAAAGTAACGAGTAAAGTAACGAGTAAAGTAACTTTATGTTGAGTGTAACGAAGTAGTGTAATATATTACTTTTTTTAAAAGTAATATGTAATATATTACTTTTTTTTTTTAGTAACGACCCCATCTCTGCCTGTCAATGTTACAAACCGACTGTACAAGGCAAACGATTAATCTCATGCTATATTTTCTAAATAGATCATCATGATGCAACATATTTGAATGTCGGTCCCCATCCAAAAAACATATTTAATCAGTACATTTGAAAGCAAGCGAAAAACAACTCTCATTTGAAAATCTGAAAACACATTTTCGCTTGAGATCAATATGATGCAGATTAAACATTTTAATTTTTCTTGCTCTTGTTACACCATTCATAACTATAACAATTCACAGCACTAGCCATCGTATTTTTTAATTCACTTCCTCACTTTTTAAATCAGTTTCACATTACCTCTTGAACCATGTTGCAGCCATCATAGGGAACCAACATGACAAGTGCATGCGAGTTCCTCTGCATGCTGTAGCCACAGGTAGACGGGACTTGGGACAGAGGCATTGGAGGTGCATTTCCTGTGGGGTAAAAAGGTTCAGTGTTTATATCATTGGTAGAGATAAATCAAGTCTACATTTAGGATATTATGGCTATTGATTTACCTTGTTCTACCGCAAATTGTGATTCTCCTGGTTCCACCACTCTGAACTTCAACTGGCCCGTACCACACTGCAGTGAGGGCGACATGCTCATCCATGACGAGTCTTTGGGACTGGCGACTTGTGTTGGGCTCATCCAGCCTGAAGGCGAATATAATATGTATATATATATATATATATATATATTTTTTTTTTCAATAGTTTGTACTTTAAAGAGAAGCAAAACAATTCAAGCAAAAATAACAAACCCTTCAATACGTAATCAAAATAGTTTTACCTGCAGAGTCTGCTTGATAAGCACCTTCATCCTCCACATAAGCGTTTGAGGATGACGTCTTGGTCCCGTCTGTGACTTGAGAATCAAGTCCTGACCCTTTTTCAAAAGCTCTCCCAAAAACAATTGTCCCCTCTTGGAACCTATTTGTTGTATCGGCATCTTTTCTCCCATCTCGTCTTTCCGTTTTCTTCAGACGATAACAGTCTATAGTTTGCGCAAAATAACACGTCAGAATAACAGCTGCAGCCAGGTAAACACCAGCGCCTTTTCTCTTGCGTATCATCCTGTTGCACATGACTGCTGGTAATGTGAAGAGATGAGATAACTTTCTTTGCCGCAACTATTTGAGCATCAGCAGGTGCTGTGACAACCAATACAGCTGTGATAGGTGCTCATAGGATTCCCATTCTGTAAAATCAAACTCACTGCGTGTAGAGAGCACTTGGCAATGAAGCATGAGACAGGGCTTTTAATACTGGCACATATTACCACCAGGCAGCCAATCAACAAGGCAGGTGCAGCCTCAGCTAATGCTTGCACCTGTGTTCAATTAGCTTGCAACAGGTGGGCCTCGTTAAGACTTGTATAATGTCTACACAGTAAGCCCTGTATATTGATCATGTAGATCAGGGGTGCCCAATACGTCGATCGCAAAGGTAGTGTGGGTAGATCGCATGGCATTGAAGCGCAAATGCGGCGCACCTTTATGCGCTTAAGAGGCGCTATTGGTGTAAGCGCTCCACAGTTTCTCCGCCGCTGTGAGGTTCCGGCGCTCGCAGTTCACTAGTACCGTTGGTTTCAAAGGCATGCCAACTATTACAAATCCAATCCAATCCACTTTATTTGTATAGCACATAATAAAAACAGAGGGTTTACCAAAGTGCTTCACACCAAACATAACATTATAATAAAATATAATATTACAATAATAGATAAAAGGCACACATAAGAAAAGATAAAAGGATAAAAGGCACACATAAGAATTAATACACGGTACATAAAGGCTATGGACATACAATAAAAGCATAACAATCGATAAAACATAGCTCAGACTGACTCGAAAGCGAGGGAAAAGAGGTGGGTCTTTGGACGAGACTTAAAAGTTTGGAGGGTGGGCGACAATTTGACATGGGGGGGCAGGTCGTTCCAGAGCCTGGGGGCTACCGCTGAGAAGGCTCGATCTCCCCTGTTCTTTTTCTTGGTTTTAGGGACTACCAGCAGCAGCTGAAGCTAAATGAAGTCACAAGAATGATAGAAACATAACAATAAAGTATTTATTTGGGCATGGCTAATATAATTGTTGATGGCCAAACATTTCATAGAAGTAACACAACTCTGCTCACATTTCAGGGTTTTTCTTTGACTTAGCCTTAAAGGTGGGGTAGGTAATTTTGAAGAAACCAGGGTTGCGTTCGAATACTCCAAAAAAACAGCTCCTAAGTTCTAACCCTATCGTCTATTCCTTGACCTCGGAGTGAAACGTCATGGGGTTAAGGGATAGTGGATAGGAGAATTCAAAAGGATTTAGGAGAAGAGACTGCGGCACTTTAGAGAATCCGACTGCACTTTCACTATCCGACGTGTTTATGATGCGCCAGCAGAGGTCATAAATGTGCGCCTGCTGCTGTGGGGAAACTATGGAAACTACAGTTTTCTATACAGCGGACTACAACATGGATGTTTAATAAGAACGAGGGACTACTGTAAACTCATCTAGAGACTCTGCACCGTGCTCTGATGCTGTTGTTTTATGCTTTATGAACGGGGACAACAGAGAAACATATTCTTCATGACCAAAGTTGAAATTGAAATAAAAAAGGAAAGTGAAACTTATGCTCGTCACCCTCTCCCTCCGGTCCACATTAATACAAATGATCCCAATACATATGATTGTATGAAAAGATCTTAAAATCAATACAAATGTATTTATTATAAACGTTAGTCCTTAACATCTATCACTGTGTATATCACCATTCAAATATCTTTTAAAAGTTGAACAAACCCCACACAGCTCAGTAAAGACTGTGAAATGTTGACTTTATTTGATCATTTCAGTAAAAACTAACGTTCATATTTCTCTTTTTGATTATAATACTGATGAACGTTCAAAACAAAGCACTTTGGCAACTTACCACATACGTTTTAAAATGCTTAATAAGCACCGTAACTTTCATGATATCATTTCTCGTTCATAATCGGTTGTTTCCGTGAACGGCCGACTGTTGTGTGACGGCAAATGCTGCGGCCGCAAGGCATTGTGGGGCAGCATTTTCTCCTCTCCTTTCGGTTAGGGAGGTCCAGTGGTTCCTAGGCTAAAGGAGGTTATAAAGGAAGTTTGAAACCTCCTTTCCTTTTAATTTAGAGAATTCGAACGGCACTTATCATGGCTGCCACTGAGGGACTTCCGGGTCATTTCATTCCGTTAGGAAGGTTCCTAAGCTAAATGGACTATTCGAATGCAACCCGGCTCGAGATCGCTAGAATTTGAAAATACCCAGCCGGAAGAAATCTGCCACTTCCTTACAGAGCCCCTCCTCCAACACACACGAACGCGCACATGACCAATGAGGGCACAAGATAAGTACGGCTTCCACAGATGAATTTTTTTTATGGATTTTTTGTCAAAGCACTTAAGATATTTATTGCTATCGGGATGTTAAGAGCATTCCATGGAATATAACAAAAAGTGTATCTCGAGCCGGTTTCTTAAACTTACCTACCCCACCTTTAAGAGGGAAAATATCTTTCAAAATAAAATTGTTTTTACGATAAGCTTCTTAACAATTACTATCATGTTTACATAACAGTAGACTAAATACAACTCATATGATGTAATTAGGACACTTATAAAATAGAAAAACTTATTTTCTATATTGCTCCAATACTTTAAATGTAGATTAAAGGGTTGTGAGGATAAACAAGAACAGCAGTACATCCAAAGACAATGGAAAGAAAACATGGAAATATACCAAGAATGTCTACACATCCTCAATTGCTAACCCATTATATTAAGAATACTTGAGGTGAGAACATCTTTTAAATATAAGACATTCCCCATTGTTATTTTCCCCGACTTAACAGGAAAGGGGAAAAAACGAGAAATGAATTATTTCCCCCTAATCTTTATTCACGAAGCGGTATACAAGTTGTATTCAAAAGTATACAAACAACTTTGCACAAGCTTGAGAATGCAAAGTCCATTAAGTCCTTTCAGAGTTCAAATAAAAACATATCCCGATTCTTGGTTCTTCATAATTTTGTGTAATGTATCATACGGTTTGATTTCGATAACAAACCAATGAATGCAAGGGAAGAGTCTGACTATTTTGATTTGTTAATCTACTTTGACCCACAATAATTAGATGTATAACAATGCTTTCCCTTATTTAGAAGACAAAATATTTATCTTCACATCAAGGAAAGTCAATCAGACGGTAACGGGATGGTGAACATGCATCAGTGTCCCAGCCTGACTTGGACCAGAGATGTCGCTTCATGGTTAGTTCCATAATTTGAAAGAAACAATACACAGGTGTTAAGGACACTGTAGGATAAAAGGTTTTGCTTCTATCATTGTTGACATTTCACTTGAATAATTAAGGATCTCACCTGTCAAGTCATTTTTAGTTGTATGAAGGCTACTTTTACAATATAACATCTACATGTGTAGTTTGAACACTTATGACCTAGTGTTAGACCAAATATTTAGTAATGCTTACTCCAGTTTACAAAACCAAAAAGAGACAAATGCTGAAGGTTCATTGTTTTGATTTGCATAACTGCCCAAAGTTGTAAATGCTCCATTTCAGAGTTGGTGTATGTAATGAGTGAAGCCAGCGTCCCTCACACAGCAGATGTTAATTATTTTAGGAAAGGACATGATGGAACTTTACCTTTGACTGAAATACATTTTCATAAATACAACCCTTTTAAAGCTTGTTCACACAAGGAAAGCTATTGTGAACACAAAAGGTTCCAATTCAAAACCTATTAAGAAATGGTTGAGCAATGATGCCACCATGTGGACACAAAGCCACACTATGACAACACTTCAAATGCCAAACATGAATTGAATTTATAAATGTAGGAATTTAAAGTGTGCACTTTAAGTTAATCATTTGTCAGCAGAACTTTTCTGTTTAAATTAAATGTCATTTTCTCAATATGGACTATTCACTCATTCACAAACCAAATGAGACTTCTTGAAGAGCCTGGAATAAAGAGTCTCTTGGGTAGTTGAAGGTTAAAAAAAAAGCACAAACTGGAAAGCGTCTCTGTTCAAAACTTTTATTAGAACTGTTTAAGTAAGGTAGCGTGGAGGAGGAAAAGGAGGCAGCAATGATATGGGCAAGTGAACATGGGGATGAAAAGGAGGATGGGGTGCCGGAGTGGGCGGGGGATCTGGTTTCACAGTGGTAGCTGGAGTGGTTGGATATTGGGGATAGGGAGGGATCATAGGGTAAAGATGATAGTAAGGCATAGATGGTAGAAGCTGCGATGAAGGATTTTTAGCCTTTGGTTTAGTTGTAGTTTGTGTTGTCGTAGTCGTTTTTGGCTTTGTTGCTGGATAAAGAGGATTAAAGGGAGGATACATCGGAATATATTGTGGAAACGGCATCTGAACGTATTGAGGCATCTGAGGGTTTTGAGGCATCTGAGGGTTTTGAGGCATCTGAGGGTTTTGAGGCATCTGAGGGTTTGCAGTTGTAGGCTGTGTGGTCGTTGCTGTTGTCTCCAGCATCTTAGGGTATTGACGCATCAGATGGTATTGAGGCATCAGAGCGTATTGAGGCATCAGAGGGTATTGAGGCATCAGAGGGTATTGAGGCATCAGAGGGTATTGAGGCATCAGAGGAAATTGAGGCATCAGAGGAAATTGAGGCATCAGAGGAAATTGAGGCATCAGAGGAAATTGAGGCATCTGATGGAATTTAGGGTTTTGAGGCATCTTACGGTTTTGAGGCATCCGAGGATTTTGAGGCATCTGAGGCAATGCAGGAATTTTAGGAATTTGAGTCGCCTTTGCAGTTGTAGGCCGTGTGGTTGTTGCCTCGGGCATCTTAGGGTTTTGAGGCATCTGAGGGTTTGAGGCATCTGAGGGTTTTGAGGCATCTGAGGGTTTTGAGGCATCTGAGGGTTTTGAGGCATCTGAGGGTTTTGAGGCATCCGACGCATCTGAGGGTTTTGAGGCATCCGACGCATCTGAGGGTTTTGAGGCATCTGAGGGTTTTGAGGCATCCGAGGGTTTTGAGGCATCCGAGGGTTTTGAGGCATCCGAGGGTTTTGAGGCATCCGAGGGTTTTGAGGCATCCGAGGGTTTTGAGGCATCCGAGGGTTTTGAGGCATCCGAGGGTTTTGAGGCATCCGAGGGTTTTGAGGCATCCGAGGGTTTTGAGGCATCCGAGGGTTTTGAGGCATCCGAGGGTTTTG